GATAGTATAAACGGTGCTAGCCTACTGTTGTTTCTTAGGATTTAGTAATATTCCATTGTGAGCATATACCACAAAAAATAGGTAACAATTACATAATTTACCTATTATCTGACACATGGAAAACAAAAGGGTACAGCACAGGATCAAAGACCAAAAAAAGAAGAACATTTTTACTTTTCCCATACTAAATGTCTACTCTCAAAGAAAACTAAAAATGAGCTCAAAAAGCAAATATACTCAATATGGCAATATTCAATATAGTATTAATCTTCCTCCCACTCCTATATAAACCAAGCACTGTCTAGATATGCTTCCCAAGGTCAAAGTCCTTGAAGCCTTTTAGAGTAGAGGCTATTCATTCTTTCATAATCCATATACATACTACAGAGATTTGTAGTAGAATGCCTCGAGGTGATGGAAAGATAGACAACACTCCCCATTGCCATTTGCAGCCGATTACTTCTCTACTTTTCCTCCTTTGAGATTTGTGCCATCATGCTCTACCACCTTCTATCTCCTCAGTTATCATTAATTTATTCAAGAAACATTTAATAAATACCCACCATGTACAGTGGTGCCTGCTAGGGCCTGGTGCTACAATTAAGAAAACATAGACCCTCCTCTCCGTGACTTTATAGTCTAATAGGAAAGACCTGCTGGGCAAAGTCTGATTACAATTTGTGCTATTTGGTATGGCAAATTGAAGTATAGAGTGGAACAATGTACTTGGAAATATACAGGCAGTGCCTGACACATAGAAAAATATTTAACAAATGTTTGATGAATATATAAAAAATGACTGTGGGCCCAGTGTGGTGGCTCACACCTATAATCTTAGCACTCTGGGAGGTCAAGGTAGGAGGAATGCTTGAGGTCAGGAGTTCAAGACCAGCCTGAGCAAGATTGAGACACTTTCTCTACTGAAAACAAAAAAAATTAGCCAGGCATGGTGGCACACACCTGTGGTCCCAGCTACTTGAAAGGCTAATGCCATGGAGGATTGCTTTAGCCCAGGAGTTTGAGGTTGCTTCTGTGAGCTAGGCTGACGCCACGGCACTCACTCTAGCCTGGGCAACAAAGCGAGACTCTGTCTCAAAAAAAAAAAAAAAAAAAAAGACTGTCCATTAATGTATGAGAATATAACAGTTTGTCATATTTTGTGAAATTAGTGAAATAATTATATGAAAAGCAATGAATTATATGATTCAATTTGATTTTAAAAAGCCTTTATGACTATAACAAAGAACAGTGTACTAGCATATGGTTAGACAAAGCTCATTAAAAAGGAATTCAAAAACAGTAAAAAGAAAACAAACTCCTTATTATTACTCTTACCTGACTGTGTCATAGATAACGACTCATCTGACCAACTATTACAGTGTTGATGGGACTTGAAAGGCAGACGACACTGTCCTCCAGTCCTACGACTTCCTTTGCTAGACTCCGGCTTTGACACAGATGTACAGCTTTTGGGAGGTGACTGTTGAAACAGAAAACCAAATGGGGACTATTTTGTGATATAATTATAAAATTCTATTTAAAATTTGAGATACTAGCCAATTAAAGATAATATTTACAAAGAGTTTTAAATAACTCTAGGACATGAGTGGAAAAAGTTTACTAATATACAAAGGATATATATATTTAAAAACATAGGAAAAAAGTTATAAAAAAGCATGCTTTTAGAAAGTTTATAATAAGTTAAAGGTGGCTGGTATATCACTGATATTTACCGCCCCCCCGTTCTTCTAATTTAAAAATACTAAATAGGTACTACTTTCATGGAAGGAAGGGAGAAAGGAAAGGAGGAAAGGAGGAAAACAGAAAACAGGGCATAAGAAGACTGCCCCCAAGAGATTATTACAAAAGACACAATTTCTACCCTGACATGAAGCAGAAGTGAGAATGCCTGATTTGATTCCTAGCGACCATCATTTCCTATCCCTGTGACTTTGGGCAAGTTTCCTAGCCTACTAATCTTCAGAGTGGGGATTAGAATAGTATCTACTTTATAAAACTGCTGTGAGGATTAAATAAGATAATCCATGTGAGGCATTTAATATACTATCTAGCACTTGGTAAGTAAGCACTCAATAAATATTACCTTTTATTATAAAAACCACTTTAAGACATACTAGTTTTTATAGTGCTCAAATGGTGGTAGTGTTCACCAGGGATGGGGGGGACCCACATCTTAGGGATGTGGTGAGCATTGTGGAGGGGAAGGGCATACCGCTAACCTTTCCTAGGGAGAGGCAAAGATATAAAATGTAACCAAAATGTCAAAAAAAACCCCACCAAAAAACATTTATCAGGTGTCGGGCAGGGGGAAGGGGTGAGGAGGGGTGGTGTATACTTGCATACTGAGTGCCACCATGCACACCACCTGGAGGATGGACGCACTTGAAGCTCTGAGGGGGGGGGGGGGGGGCTAAGGGCAATATATGTAACCTTAACAATATTTGTACCCCCATAACATGATGAAATTAAAAAAAAAAGACATACTAGTTTGGATACCCTAGATGTATTTTCATGTGAGGAAAAAACCTAATTTTTAATATTCCATCAGTTTGTGGCTATCCTGAACCTCAAAAATGATGCTAAGTAAAATCTAATCAAATTTGTAAGAATAAGATTGTTCAAAATGCACAGTTTGGTTGTAAATTCTTGGAAGGTAGGAATTTACATAATAATAATAGATAATGGTACAAGAAAATTATCTATACAGGCCTAGTTTTATCACATAAAAATAAGAAACCACTAACCTGATAATTATAAGCCTTTCATAATCTAAAAACACTGATTTCAAGTATGTGCACAAGAACATAGGATATTTTCAACATAAATGGAATAGGCTCTTCCTTGTACACAAAAGGGTTTTCTTTTAAGTCTTTTAGGGGCTGTAACACAGATGAATCTGATTTTTTTTTCAACAGAGGAAATGCAGTTCATTCTTCACTTCCCCAAAAATGAAGACTCTAACAAAGGATATTCCATTCTGAATTTAGGTAGATTTTGGTTTTTTAAGCATAGAGGCTTTAACAATGTCTGTGTTCACTAAATATTTAATATTGTTATGCTAATCACTTGCTATACAGGTGGTCCCTGGGGTATGGACAAGATAAGTCTCTGAGAATGTCTTTAGGTTGGATTTGTATATAACACAGATCCCTCATGAACAGGGAATATACAGTAATAATAATAACAATACTATGATGTCCCATATGTGATGATAATAACAGTGCAATACTGTAATGATACCCCTGTACTGTAATAATAAGTTACAGAAACTATTGTGCTCTTTCTTTTAATTCAAATAAACAGAACATAAAAACAAACTCATACAAAAAGTTTAGATAGGAGATAAGAGAAATTTCAAAAAAGAATATTAAAGGTTAACACTCACCTAATGTTGCATCAATGCTACACTAATAGGAATGTTATGCTTATTTTGATCTTCTAAACAAATCAATGACCTTTCTATTTCAATAATTAATCCACTACACTGCTTAGTAATAATTGATGCTTTCATTGAAGCACTGCCTTTCACATGTTCCATTATTCTCACTTTATCCTTTATAATTGTTCTGATAGTCTAGTGACTAAAGCCTAATGCTTTCCCAATGAAGGCATCTGGCCTTTCTCCCAATGCTTAGTTATTTATTTCTACTTTTGTTTCCATTGTAATCACCCTTCTCTTCGCTGCAGGCTCACCTGGACTTGCAGTGGACTTTCACTTTGGAGGCATGGTAATAAGGTAAATAAAGATTCAAAAACTCAAATAAAAAAGTTAAGATGAAAGTGATGCTGTGTGTAAGCAACCATATAAACAATGAGATGCTGTGCCCAAGAACTACTTATGTCATGCAGGTTTGTTTACATGTGTGGAAGAAACTAGCACCCAAATTATTAATTTAATTACTTAATTATAAATTCTCCTTATGAGGAGCCTTGGAGCCTGTTCGTAAGTACGAAACACCATTGTTTCGTTGGTTGTCCGTAGCCCAGGGGACTGCCTATGCTTTATAAACTCAAGTTAAAAAAACAGTTAAGTTTCTATCTTGAGTTTTTACCAGATAGTTTTTTTTCTATGAAGTACAGAATTAAGGACATGTAAAAAATTCAACACCCTTTTATGATAAGAACACTTAACAAATAGGCATAGATGGGGCTTACCTAAAAATGATACAAGCCACATATGACAAACCCACAGCCAACATTATACTGAATGGGGAAAAATTGAAAGCATTCCCACTTAGAACTGGAACAAGGCAAGGTTGCCCACTATGTCCACTTCTATTCAAAAAAATCTTCTTAATTCTAATAATGACCATTATTCTCACTTAGAATCAATAACCATTCCAGATCTGTCTTAAGGAGATGAAACCATTACCTTTATTCTTACTATAAGTTATACAGTAGTAATTAACCAAATTATAGTAAAGGTACTCTGGTATGGTTTAAGATTTTATTGTTTCTGTTATGTGACAAAACACAAATTTCAAAAAGAACTTGTGTTGTTTCTATAAATTATCTTTATTAAAGACTTTAGAAGTTCCTATCTCCTCAATATTAATAGACTTGAAGCATATAATTTTATAACTGCCATTAAAGCTATAATTTGTATATTTATAAATCTACACTAGTCATGGAAGTTTTATTTCTATTCAAATGTTATATTCTGATGTTACAAGTATGGGTATGCTGTCATCAACAGCAACAAATAACTGCTAATAATATACCTTTTTCTAAAGAATTTTTAAGATATACATTAACTTACATGTTTACTAGGAGAGGTAGAAGATTCTAGTTCCTGTGAAAACACCATTTCTTCGGTAAGTATACTGTGATCTGGAGTCCCTGGCTGCTCCTGCACTATAGATTCAGATGGTATATATTCAACAGCAGGACTGCCCAATTCTTCTGGAATAGAGCTTTCACTGTTTAGATGAGAGTAGAAAGGTACTGAAGATTCCTCTTCACTTGCTATTTCTAGAAAGAAAGGGTGAAAAAAAGAAAAAACACACAATCTCCGTCAATGGGAAAATTCTAACTGTTAACACCTTACATTTGTTTTTAGCATATTATCACTATTTGCATTTAGGTATAATTTCTTCATAATGTCACTTAACATTTACTACAAAGTCTGTCAGTCTAATTGAGAATTTTGGCTGATGCCAAGTGAAGGACGATATCTACCACACATAATCAGCAATGATAGTGACTGACAATCTAGTTTCTGTGAAAAAACCATTTCTGCAGTAAGTATACTGTAACCTGGACTTCCTGGTAACTGCTGCACTATAGATTCAGATGGCATATATTCAAGAGCAGGACTGCCCAATACCTGCCCAGCACCTCTGTGCTACTTAAAGCCAATGCTGCCAATTCTTTCTGTACTCCCTCGGCACTGTCAAGCCGGGCCAACCAGGCCAACCAACCCTTTTACCACCCAGCAGGAAAGTGTGAGGATGCAGAGCAGTTACTACTCTCATATATTCCTTTAGGAGTAGTAACTGGTCTAATCACTTTGCTAAACAATTTGGTATTACTTGAAAAAGATGATAACACATCCTCTACAATAACACTCTTAGCATGCAGCTTAGTCTCTAGTAATCTCAAAGATTTTGTGAACCACTGAATATCCTTTAATAAGTTACTTTTTTGCTTAGTCAGAATCAGCTTTATCTATGGCAACAATGTACTTAATGAGTACACTGCATTTATTTTATTATAATGTATTTTTTTCTTGACTTTTTTCTCTTCTTTATATCAGTTTACCTTACTATTTTTAAGCTATATTTGGTGAGATTAAAAATCACACTGAATCACTTGTCAGCCTTTTGGCTAAGATCAAGTGTAAACATACGGAAATAACCTTTGTTTTATCACATTTATCCAACAACACTTTCCACAATTAGTAAGCAACAGTTCCTAACAATATAGGCTTGAACAGTGAAAGCTATTATTGATTTGCCTTCTAGCCAAAGTCATAAATGTTTTCTATTATATCTGAAAAGTTGAGTCCTGTACCACCAGAACAAATAAGTCTCTTTTCCAGGTCCTCTTAAATTTCCTCCCAGGATGGAGAAATCTGTATGCAGCAGGATGTTGAGGCAACAGGTGAGGATGAGAAAGCTGACACAGAAGTAAGCCTCTGCTGGATAAACTAAAAAGAAATTATTGAGGAAAAGAGGATGACTACAAATAAACTGTATCTATTGTATCATTGATTTTCTTTATGTATCACTTTGGCATGTATAGCTAGATAATAATATCATTTAGTTTTGCATGCTTTTGAATTTCCTATAAAAGGATTCAAATTGTCTGTAGTCTTCTATGATTTGTTTTTAATTCTTGTACATTGATTTGTATAGCTGTTATTTCTCATCTTCACTGAGCATAATATGTAAATATACCACAATTCATCTATCCTCCTACTTACAAACAAGTTATTTTTTTACTATTTCATTGCTTCTATGAATGATGTCATATTTATCTCCTAGTACAGCTAGCTAGCTATAGATATATATTTATCTATAGATATCTATAGGTATATATGTACATAGCTATATGTATATACCTATATATCTATTTATACCTCTATATTTCTATATCTATCTATCTATCTATCTAGGAGTACTCTACACCAGTGGCTTTCAGACCTATTTTAACCATAATATTTATCCTTAATGTTTTCTATTCTATTTCAACTTTAAACAATGCTGACTGCAATCTAGTTCATGTGCCTCTAATGTTCTCAAAGTTTGAGAACTGACCGAGTTCTCAAACATTTTGGTCTCAGAACCTCTTTAAACTCTTAAAAATGATTGAGGACACCAAAGAGCTTTAATTTACATGGTTATAGATATAGTCATGTGTATGTATCAATATTTACCAAATCTGAAATGATCTAAAATCTGAAACTTTTTGAGTAATGACAAAATGTGCGAAAGAAATGCTCACTGGAACATTTTGCATTTCAGAATTTTGAATTTGGATGTTCAACTGGTAAGTATAATGCAAATATTCCAAAATTAAAAAAAAAAAAATCTGAAACACTTCTGGTCCTAAGCAGTTGGAATAAGGAATACTCAACCTGTATCTCTTTATGGTTTTCAAGCCCTGATTACTAATGAAGTTGAACATCTTTTCATAAACCATTGACTATGCTTATTGACCATTTGGAGTTCTTCATTTGTGAATTGTCTAGTCTTCTAATTTTTACGTGGTTATCATTTTATTATTGATTCACAGGAGTTACTCATATATTTTTTTAATTTTTTTAAAAAATGTTATTTAATTTTTTAATAATTATTTTTATTTTTTGAGACAGGGTCTTGCTCTGTCACCTGGGCTATTCTGTAGTGGCATGATCATAGCTTACTGCAACCTCTAACTCTTGGGCTCAAGTGATCACCCTGGATCAGCCTCCCAAGTAGCTAGCACTACAAGTGCGCACCACCATGGCTAATTTTTCTATTTCTTGTAGAGACAGGGTCTCATTATGTTGTTCAGGCTGATCTCCAACTCCTGGCCTCAAGTGACCTCCTGCCTCATCTTCCCAAAGTGCTAAGATTATAGGCATAAACCATCGTGCCCATTCTACTTATATATTCTTGATACTATTGCTTTATTAGTCATATGTGTTACAAATATCGTCTCTTATTTTGTTGTTTCACTTTTTGATGTTGTATTTATGAATAGAGATTCTTAATTTACTGAAGCCAAATTTATTAATTTTTTTCTTTACTATTTCTGGGCTGTTTCATAATCTATTTGTTTACCTATTTACAAAATATTATCACTACAGTTTTAGTCACTATACCTTTAGAAATATTGATATCTGATAAGTTCCCACATTTTGTGGTTCATCTTTAGAATTATCTTTGCTTTTTGGTCCCTTGCTCTTTCATATAAATTTTTAAATGAGCTTTTTATTTTTTTTTTTTTTCAGTTCTAAAAAGCTGAGATAAATGAGCTTTTTAAACCCTACCAAGAAACCTTGATGGGTTTCTGATTAAAATTGTCTTGAATCAACATATTAGTCCAAGGAGACTGAACATTTTCTGACACTGAATCTATATGTGAATACAGAGTAATGTTCCATTTATTTTGGTTTTCTGTAATGTCTCCCAATAAAATTCTAAATTCTCCTCTATAAAGATCTTATTCCATTCATATAAAGAATTGTTAAAAAGAAAAAATTAAAAAAAAAAAAGATCTTGTACATTTTTGGTTAAACTTATTCCTAGGTACATCATATTTTTGTTTCTATTATATTTTGTTTCCATCTATATCTTTTTTAAAAATTAGATTTGCTTAACCAATTTTTGCTGGTCTATAGACATGCAATTGAGTTTTGTATTTTGGGGTTTATAATGAGTAACTTTGCTAAACTTATTATATTCTAATAATTGACATGTAAATTTTGGATTTTCTCCATACATAGTTTTATTAACTGTAAATAATGAGAATTTTGCTACTTCTTCTTCCTCCTTACAGCTTTTAATTCTTTTTCTAGTCTTAATGAACTGTCTAGGACTGTCTAGGACACAATGCTGAACAGAAAAGGTGAAAATAAGCATCTTTGTTTTATTTCCAAATTGAAAGGAAAAACTTTCTATGTTTTATCATTAAGTATGATATCTGTTATAGAGTTAGTTTTTTATTTTTGTTAATATATACCCTTTATTAGGTAAAGAAAGTTCCTTTCCATGGCTACTTTGAGCTGAAGTTTTTTTGGTTTTTTTTTTATCACAAATGCTTTTTAAATTTAATCAAATGCCTCTTCTGAATCCATTGAGATGGTCATGTAATTATTCTCCTTTATTCTGTAAAAGGTGATTCGCCACATTATCAATTTTCTAATGTGTGGTAAATCCCACTTGGTCATGAAATATTTGAATATATAGTTGAATTTGGTGTGCTAGTATTTAATTTAGAATAGGTAACATTGGCCTTTTCCTTTCTGATTCTGTCCTTTTATGGATTTAGTATCAAACTTATATAATAGCCTCATAAAATGAGTTGAGAAATGTCTCTCTTTTTCCATTCTATGTAAAAGTAAAAAATTATAACACTGGATTTTTCCCCCTCTTGAATGTCTAGTGTACTAGTAAAGCCAGAAAAGGTCTCTGTGAAAAGATGTTTGGCTACTGGAGTACAATTTCTTTAATGGTCAAAGAACCAGGAAGTCTCTCTTATCTTTTTTTTTAATTTTTAATTTAAAAATAAATAAATAAAAATAAGAAAATTCACTGCAAACTCCAACTCCTGTGCTGTAAGTGATCCATCTGCCTCAGCCTCCCTAGTAGCTGGGACTACAGGAGCATGATACAAAGCCCAGCTGGGTTTTTTTCCTTTTTTTTTTTTTTTTTTTTTAATTTCTTTCTATTTTTGGTAGAGACAGGGTGAACTCCTGAGCTCAAGCAATCCTCCCACCTTGGCCTCCCAGAGTGCTAGAATTACAAGCATGAGCCACCGCTGCCGGCCTCTCCTATTGAGCAAACTATGGCAAGTTGTATTTTTTAGAAGAATTTGCCATTTCTTCTAAGTTTTCAAGTGTGTATTGGCATAAAGTTATTTATAGTTTTTTTTATCTTTCTAATTATTGCAGCATTTGTCTAAGGGTGCCTTCTTCACCCTTAGTCATTCGCATTTTTGAAAGCAATGAAAGAAATCTTTCAATTATGTTAGCCTTTAGTTTGTAGTCTGAAGAGAGTTTGTATTTACTACCTTTCTGTTCTGTTGTCTGGTCCTCCAATTCTTTCTTAGGAGTTTGGGGTTTTATTAATTCTTTGTCCCAGGCAGCCAAAGCTTGTTTTTCCATTTGACGAATTTCTGCTTCTTCTGCATCTAAACGTCGCTTCCATTCTAGGAGCTCCTCTGCATGTTGTCGCCGTTGCATTAGTTTTTGCTCTCGCTTTGTCAGAAACCTATGGTCACATCATGAAGAACAGTGTGAGAACAAACATATAGGGAAAGATCACTTTGAGAGCCCTATCACTCACCACCTTATCAACAAGCTGTGCAAAAGAAGAACATTCACATTTTCTCTGAAAAAAGTTTGAGATAATAGAAGCTTTCATGAGTCAACTTATTCAGAAAATGAGAAAATCTATGTTTTACTTATAATAGTTTGTAAGATTAGCAAACGAAAAACAGTTGTAAAAGCAGAAAAAAATCTTCAGAAAATCTAGACAAGCATAACTAATAAGATTAATACTTAATTTATATATGCATTTTTCATAGGTTATTCTTTTCTATAACAGAAGATATAAGGAATTTACTTTGAAGACCAGAACACAGACTAGAAAACACACAAAACCCAAAACAACAAAGACCAAAACAACAACAAAAAACAAACCCCAAAGCCCCAAAACAAGCAAGCAAACAAAAAACATGTTCATGTCCTTTTTTCACTTTTATTTTCAAATTCTGTCTGGCTTTGCTTCAGGTCTAGTGAATTTGGTTTCCATTACCTAAGAGATAAAACATTAGGTGATAAATCTTTTTTTAATGGAGAGAACACTAAGCACCACAGTTAAATGTATTATGCATATAAACGTAACTATTTATTTACTTGAGTAAAAGTACGCATCAAATGCCTCAAATTTTCCAATTTAACCTGATCTCTGAACTTAAATAGCCAATCATATCTTAGGCCCAAAGGGTTAGGAGAAATTGCTGATTTAGGAGAAATTATCCCGTTTGGAGGTTACTAAAAAAATTCTCTTTAAATGTAGATACCACAACTAAATAAAAGGTGGGCTACTCACATTACTGGTGTTATATCTACAGCAGTAGCTAACCAACAAAAATGCATTCACGCATTCCACAAACACTATAAAGCACAAGGACTGTCACTCTACGTATTGAGCAATCATCATGTCAAATTAATGTGGAAACAAAAAGGTAAAATCTATGGGACATGTGACAAGAGGCTTCCAGGCTATTAAATAAAAGAGAGAGAGAGGCAAAAAAAAAAAAAAAAAAAAAAAAAAAAAAAAAAACAAAACAAACAAAAAGAACAGAGCATGCTCTATCAAAGAGTGCACTGAAAAAGGTGCAAAGTTACCTGACCAACTGGTTGTAGATATACAGCTGGAATTTGGGATGAAGGTTGGGAAAACAGACACTGAGAGAGGCCCAGTGATGAGACGTAAAGACAGAGAAGAAGTAGTGAACAGGAGAGCAGTGTCTACAAAATAAGGAGGAAGATTTTAAAACCAAGAGATCAAGAGGCAGAAAGAATGAGGAAAGGAAAGCACAAGAGCTGAGTGAAGAACTTTTAATGTGCTTTCTGAATAACATTATAAGCTACTCAGTTAAAGCAAGTGTTATAGTCTGTGTGACACAAGAAAGCATGTACTTTTATAGATCTTACCAATGATTTCTGAATAAACATGCCTTTCTTCTTAAATGCTGCTTAACCATCATCTATATTTTCAGTTAAATTCACTTGTTTGTGAGCTATAAGAAGTATATTGTGGGGCTAAATACGTTTTTGAATAAGCTTTAACAGAGAATACAATTATGGCCCTGAACCTAATATAGCAGCAACTCTACATACATATGTAATCCTGAGCAAGTGATTTTTATATCTGTACCTTGTCATGTATTTTAAGCTTGAAATTAAATTTTAAAAGTACTACATTTGCCTTACTTAACCTTACCATCACAATCTAATTTGAAAATAATATAATAATTGATTTATAGAAAAATAACTTGTTCACCTCTATAATATACATAAAACTTACTGCTAACAGGACCTACTGGAAATATCTTGCTTTATACCTAACAAAGGTCCATTAAATATTAATAACAACATTGAAATATAATACCCATTCTATAAAATATCAGGATACATAATTAAGAATAGAGTAAAAGTTAACTGTAAATAATGAGAATTTTGCTACTTCTTCTTCCTCTTACAGCTTTTAATTCTTTTTCTAGTCTTAATGACTGTCTAGGACTGTCTAGGACACAATGCTGAACAGAAAAGGTAAAATAAGCATCTTTGTTTTATTTCCAAATTGAAAGAAAACTTTCTATGTTTTATCATTAAGTATGATATCTGTTATAGAGTTAGTTTTTTATTTTTGTTAATATATACCCTTTATTAGGTAAAAAAGTCTTTCATGGCTACTTTGAGCTGAAGTTTTTTGGTTTTTTTTTTTATCACAAATGCTTTTAAATTAATCAAATGCCTCTTCTGAATCCATGAGATGGTTCATGTATTATTCTCCTTTATTCTGTAAAAGTGATTCGCCACATTATCAATTTTCTATGTGTGTAAACCCACTTGGTCATGAAAATTTGAATATATAGTGAATTTGGTGTGCTAGTATTTATTTAGAATAGGAACATTGGCCTTTTCCCTTTCTGATTCTTGTCCTTTTATGGATTTAGTATCAAACTATATAATAGCCTCATAAAATGAGTTGAGAAATGTCTCTCTTTTTCCATTCTATGTAAAAGTAAAAAATACTAACACTGGATTTTTCCCCTCTTGAATGTCTAGTTACTAGTAAAAGCCAGAAAAGTCTCTGTGAAAAGATGTTTGGTACTGGAGTACAATTTCTTTAATGGTCAAAGAACCAGAAGTCTCTCTTATCTTTTTTTTAATTTTTAATTTAAAAATAATAAATAAAAATAAGAAAATTCACTGCAAACTCCAACTCCTGTGCTGTAAGTGATCCATCTGCCTCAGCCTCCTAGTAGCTGGACTACAGGAGGCATGATACAAAGCCCAGCTGGTTTTTTCCTTTTTTTTTTTTTTTTTTTTGAAAACTATTATTGATTTGCCTTCTAGCCAAAGTCATAAATGTTTTCTATTATATCTGAAAAGTTGAGTCCTGTACCACCAGAACAAATAAGTCTCTTTTCCAGGTCCTCTTAAATTTCCTCCCAGGATGGAGAAATCTGTATGCAGCAGGATGTTGAGGCAACAGGTGAGGATGAGAAAGCTGACACAGAAGTAAGCCTCTGCTGGATAAACTAAAAAGAAATTATTGAGGAAAAGAGGATGACTACAAATAAACTGTATCTATTGTATCATTGATTTTCTTTATGTATCACTTTGGCATGTATAGCTAGATAATAATATCATTTAGTTTTGCATGCTTTTGAATTTCCTATAAAAGGATTCAAATTGTCTGTAGTCTTCTATGATTTGTTTTTAATTCTTGTACATTGATTTGTATAGCTGTTATTTCTCATCTTCACTGAGCATAATATGTAAATATACCACAATTCATCTATCCTCCTACTTACAAACAAGTTATTTTTTTACTATTTCATTGCTTCTATGAATGATGTCATATTTATCTCCTAGTACAGCTAGCTAGCTATAGATATATATTTATCTATAGATATCTATAGGTATATATGTACATAGCTATATGTATATACCTATATATCTATTTATACCTCTATATTTCTATATCTATCTATCTATCTATCTAGGAGTACTCTACACCAGTGGCTTTCAGACCTATTTTAACCATAATATTTATCCTTAATGTTTTCTATTCTATTTCAACTTTAAACAATGCTGACTGCAATCTAGTTCATGTGCCTCTAATGTTCTCAAAGTTTGAGAACTGACCGAGTTCTCAAACATTTTGGTCTCAGAACCTCTTTAAACTCTTAAAAATGATTGAGGACACCAAAGAGCTTTAATTTACATGGTTATAGATATAGTCATGTGTATGTATCAATATTTACCAAATCTGAAATGATCTAAAATCTGAAACTTTTTGAGTAATGACAAAATGTGCGAAAGAAATGCTCACTGGAACATTTTGCATTTCAGAATTTTGAATTTGGATGTTCAACTGGTAAGTATAATGCAAATATTCCAAAATTAAAAAAAAAAAAATCTGAAACACTTCTGGTCCTAAGCAGTTGGAATAAGGAATACTCAACCTGTATCTCTTTATGGTTTTCAAGCCCTGATTACTAATGAAGTTGAACATCTTTTCATAAACCATTGACTATGCTTATTGACCATTTGGAGTTCTTCATTTGTGAATTGTCTAGTCTTCTAATTTTTACGTGGTTATCATTTTATTATTGATTCACAGGAGTTACTCATATATTTTTTTAATTTTTTTAAAAAATGTTATTTAATTTTTTAATAATTATTTTTATTTTTTGAGACAGGGTCTTGCTCTGTCACCTGGGCTATTCTGTAGTGGCATGATCATAGCTTACTGCAACCTCTAACTCTTGGGCTCAAGTGATCACCCTGGATCAGCCTCCCAAGTAGCTAGCACTACAAGTGCGCACCACCATGGCTAATTTTTCTATTTCTTGTAGAGACAGGGTCTCATTATGTTGTTCAGGCTGATCTCCAACTCCTGGCCTCAAGTGACCTCCTGCCTCATCTTCCCAAAGTGCTAAGATTATAGGCATAAACCATCGTGCCCATTCTACTTATATATTCTTGATACTATTGCTTTATTAGTCATATGTGTTACAAATATCGTCTCTTATTTTGTTGTTTCACTTTTTGATGTTGTATTTATGAATAGAGATTCTTAATTTACTGAAGCCAAATTTATTAATTTTTTTCTTTACTATTTCTGGGCTGTTTCATAATCTATTTGTTTACCTATTTACAAAATATTATCACTACAGTTTTAGTCACTATACCTTTAGAAATATTGATATCTGATAAGTTCCCACATTTTGTGGTTCATCTTTAGAATTATCTTTGCTTTTTGGTCCCTTGCTCTTTCATATAAATTTTTAAATGAGCTTTTTATTTTTTTTTTTTTTCAGTTCTAAAAAGCTGAGATAAATGAGCTTTTTAAACCCTACCAAGAAACCTTGATGGGTTTCTGATTAAAATTGTCTTGAATCAACATATTAGTCCAAGGAGACTGAACATTTTCTGACACTGAATCTATATGTGAATACAGAGTAATGTTCCATTTATTTTGGTTTTCTGTAATGTCTCCCAATAAAATTCTAAATTCTCCTCTATAAAGATCTTATTCCATTCATATAAAGAATTGTTAAAAAGAAAAAATTAAAAAAAAAAAAGATCTTGTACATTTTTGGTTAAACTTATTCCTAGGTACATCATATTTTTGTTTCTATTATATTTTGTTTCCATCTATATCTTTTTTAAAAATTAGATTTGCTTAACCAATTTTTGCTGGTCTATAGACATGCAATTGAGTTTTGTATTTTGGGGTTTATAATGAGTAACTTTGCTAAACTTATTATATTCTAATAATTGACATGTAAATTTTGGATTTTCTCCATACATAGTTTTATTAACTGTAAATAATGAGAATTTTGCTACTTCTTCTTCCTCCTTACAGCTTTTAATTCTTTTTCTAGTCTTAATGAACTGTCTAGGACTGTCTAGGACACAATGCTGAACAGAAAAGGTGAAAATAAGCATCTTTGTTTTATTTCCAAATTGAAAGGAAAAACTTTCTATGTTTTATCATTAAGTATGATATCTGTTATAGAGTTAGTTTTTTATTTTTGTTAATATATACCCTTTATTAGGTAAAGAAAGTTCCTTTCCATGGCTACTTTGAGCTGAAGTTTTTTTGGTTTTTTTTTTATCACAAATGCTTTTTAAATTTAATCAAATGCCTCTTCTGAATCCATTGAGATGGTCATGTAATTATTCTCCTTTATTCTGTAAAAGGTGATTCGCCACATTATCAATTTTCTAATGTGTGGTAAATCCCACTTGGTCATGAAATATTTGAATATATAGTTGAATTTGGTGTGCTAGTATTTAATTTAGAATAGGTAACATTGGCCTTTTCCTTTCTGATTCTGTCCTTTTATGGATTTAGTATCAAACTTATATAATAGCCTCATAAAATGAGTTGAGAAATGTCTCTCTTTTTCCATTCTATGTAAAAGTAAAAAATTATAACACTGGATTTTTCCCCCTCTTGAATGTCTAGTGTACTAGTAAAGCCAGAAAAGGTCTCTGTGAAAAGATGTTTGGCTACTGGAGTACAATTTCTTTAATGGTCAAAGAACCAGGAAGTCTCTCTTATCTTTTTTTTTAATTTTTAATTTAAAAATAAATAAATAAAAATAAGAAAATTCACTGCAAACTCCAACTCCTGTGCTGTAAGTGATCCATCTGCCTCAGCCTCCCTAGTAGCTGGGACTACAGGAGCATGATACAAAGCCCAGCTGGGTTTTTTTCCTTTTTTTTTTTTTTTTTTTTTAATTTCTTTCTATTTTTGGTAGAGACAGGGTGAACTCCTGAGCTCAAGCAATCCTCCCACCTTGGCCTCCCAGAGTGCTAGAATTACAAGCATGAGCCACCGCTGCCGGCCTCTCCTATTGAGCAAACTATGGCAAGTTGTATTTTTTAGAAGAATTTGCCATTTCTTCTAAGTTTTCAAGTGTGTATTGGCATAAAGTTATTTATAGTTTTTTTTATCTTTCTAATTATTGCAGCATTTGTCTAAGGGTGCCTTCTTCACCCTTAGTCATTCGCATTTTTGAAAGCAATGAAAGAAATCTTTCAATTATGTTAGCCTTTAGTTTGTAGTCTGAAGAGAGTTTGTATTTACTACCTTTCTGTTCTGTTGTCTGGTCCTCCAATTCTTTCTTAGGAGTTTGGGGTTTTATTAATTCTTTGTCCCAGGCAGCCAAAGCTTGTTTTTCCATTTGACGAATTTCTGCTTCTTCTGCATCTAAACGTCGCTTCCATTCTAGGAGCTCCTCTGCATGTTGTCGCCGTTGCATTAGTTTTTGCTCTCGCTTTGTCAGAAACCTATGGTCACATCATGAAGAACAGTGTGAGAACAAACATATAGGGAAAGATCACTTTGAGAGCCCTATCACTCACCACCTTATCAACAAGCTGTGCAAAAGAAGAACATTCACA